GGAAATAGTTCACAAGCTTTGGAACCTAAACGATTCTCAGTAACCAGTCGTTCCTGGGCGGGCCCAGGGCTCCAGAGTGTCCCACCACTAGGGCCTTCCCAGCCCGGGACGTCCCTGGCTGCTGTTTCTCTTGGCATCTCTGCAGGGCCGGTCCTGGTTCCTGGAGAAGCTGTGCAGTTAGGGCTTCCGTCTTGCTGGGCAACAGCGCCTCTCCAGTCCTGGTTGGGCCTTTGTTCCAGTTCTGAACTCCCACCTTCCAAGGCCTGTATCCTGAGCCTTGCACTTGCCCTCGCCTTTCTCCTCACAGCCCATCAGGGGGACAGCGGGTGGGGAGGGTGTTCCCAGGGAAACCCCTGTCCACTACCAAGAGGAACTTGGTGTAGGGGCTGAAAGCCCGGGGTTAGGTGCCCAACTTCTGATCTCCCACCACCAAATTCAGAGTCTGGGGCAAGAAAACTCACCTCTTTGAAAACTGGGTGGTTGGGAGGGAGAGGAACAGGTGGTGAGACGGACAGAGCCTGCAGCCTGTTGCCAAGTCAGGACTGGCTTGTGCAGAACTCAGCTCCAGTTCTTCTGGGCTCTTCCAGGCCCTTCCTCAGCAGACAGGCTTCCCCCATTCCCCTCAAGGCAGGGGGTTGAGGCAGCTCATTTCTCAGCAAAGCCTGTGCCTGTGCCGGGATAGCCGTGAGCTCAGCCATCTGTGCTATGAAGGGCTGGGGTGGGGATTCCCACAGGGAGACCTCCTGCTCTGATCTGAGGCTCTTGTCAGGGCTTGGGCGGCCACACCCATTGCTGGGGACCAGTGACAGGCCCTTCTGTCGCCCACTGGTGTGAACTTGAGGGAGGGGTTGGCACACCAGACGCCTGGTTCCCTCCCACCACTCCCCCCCAGCCCTGGGGTGGGGACCCTCAGGGTTCCTTTCCTCCCACGTTTACGAGGGCTGCTGGGCAGCCTAGTTTCCTGTGAACACCCTACACCAGGGTTTGATGGCCTTTCTCATTTTTGCTAAACTTTTTTCATCTGCTGAGGCCCTTTCACCACCAAACAGTAACTGTGAAGCATGATGGTGGTCTGAGGGCAGCCTGGGGGGCGTCCTGGCTACACCGCAACAGGCTGTAACCCTCAGGGCCATCACCAAAGAGACAAGGGCTCTGGCCTCCTGGAACTCCAGGAGGATGAAAGGAGATGACGCTGGTGCTGAGCCTGGTGCCTGGCACAGAGTCAATCCAGCCTTGGGCAGTGAGTACCCTTTCCATGAAGAAAATGTCACCACGAGGGCCTGAGGTCTAGAAAAGGCCCAAGGCTCCAGGAGAGACTAGGTCCGGCTGGTCCCTCTGACTCTAGCCTTAAAAATCAAATTCCTTCCTCAGCAAAAATACAGCAAGCAATCCCAGCTCAGACCGGGGCTGCTGGTTAGAGGGCACCCTCCTCTCCCCTCCCGCCTGCCACCCCCCTTCTCTCCCCTTCCTCTGCCCACCCCCAACCTCTCCCCTCTCCACCTTCTCTCATCTCTCCCCTCCTCCACTTGTCTTCCCCCTCCTCCATCTTTCCCACTCACACTCCCAGGCAGAGGAGAAACTCTGCCCAAAGCTGGGTATCTACCCCCTCCTCCTCCCCCACTGAGAGGGGTGGTACTCTGCAGCTGACCAGCACTGGCTCACCTCTGGTTCCTACTTGGCTGCACCACAGAATCACCTGAGCGCTGGGTCCCACACTCAGCCTGTTGTAGGGCGTGGGTACTGTGCTACACCAACAGGGTTGGGGACCACAGGCAATCAGGACTGACTAGGGGGCCTCCAGCCCTGGAGCCGGGAGCTGGAGCCAGAGCAAGAATGTGAACTGCCTGTCTTACAACACCTGCTCACTCCAGGCCAAGCTCAGTTTACAGATGAGGAGACGAGGCTCAGAGAGGTTAACTAACTTGCCTAGAGTCACACAGCCACTGAGTGGTTAAGCCATGTTCAAGCCTTAGAGGCTGCTAACTGCAAAACCAGGGAGGGCTCCTCCAAACTCACGGCGCCTTCTCTGGATCCTAGAACACCTCCCCCAGGGGGAAGGACAAGTCTAGCCTATGGCCTCCTGAGTGGTGTAGGTCCTATGGGGATAGCTCCAGGCAAAGGAAAATGAAGAAACATCTACCTGACAGGGAGGCTGTAGCAGGAACTGGTGGGGGTGGCCGAACCCCAAGAATGTCTGGGGTGCAGCTGCTCCCAGGGAGCCTGCCCACCCTCCCTCAACTCTTCCTGAAAGGCGTTTGGGGCCCACCCCTGGTGTCAGGTTCCTGGCCCTGCACCACAGCTGTCGCCCCCATCCCCAGGGGCTGCTGCTTTCCCAGGCTGGAGGATCTGATCCCTCCCAGCTCCACCTCCCTACCCCAGGTGGTGGGCCCTCTAGCTCAAAGCATCCCTCTCCCAACTAGGCCCCCAGCGAGCTCAGGCCCATGCTCCATTCTCTAGGGGAAAGGAATTTCCCAGGGAAACTTCCTGGGGCAATATCCTCATGAATAAAGGGGCTCCTCAAAACAGGAGGGAGGGCACTATGGAAGACCCCCACCCTAAAGTGGGAGATGCACATTCACTTTTACAGAATACCTGTGTTCAGGGTCCTCTCCCCCATGTTCAGAACCTCACCTCCCAGGTGCTGCTGTCCCCTCATTATTTCTCAGTTCAATCTGCCATGGGCACAGGACCATATTGTACAGAAAGCTCCATGTTGGGCAGGTAGAGGAGAACTTGCCACCCTCTCTCTCACGCACACACAGACACACACACATGTTCTGGTCACCCACAAGAAATTTACCCACACATGGCAGATTAAACAAAGGCCATGCTGACACAGGAAGGTGTTGGTTTTCTGGCCCATCTCAATCAGCAATAAGGCCCAATAGAAGGTGCTAGCAGATGGGCCCAACTTTGGAACCAGACCTATGTGTGTTTCCTAGCTAGGGACCCCTGGATAGGTCATCTTCGCTCTGGCCTCAGTTTCCCCATGTGTGCAGTTCAGATGGTCAGTGGGTAGCCTTCATCAAATGGACCAGGGTTAGGGGGATGGAAGGGACAGGAGAATAAAGAACACACATATAAACATGGCATCTCTAGGAAGAGTCCCAGGTTGTGTCTATTGCAGAGGCCTCTAATGGCCTCCCCTCTAGCCCACTAGTCCATATGTCCATGGCCCCCAGAAAGGTCCCTGTCAAACCAGCCTTTCCCCAAAAACAGCCCCAGCCACCTACCGTCATGGCACAGAGTGGTAAGATGCAGATACAACCCTGGGAGGGCACATCCACAGGGATCTAGGATGACGTGCTGGGGAGGTACATTGGTACCGACCCTGGAAAGAAGGATGAGTCTGTTTAAAAGACAGTAGGAGAGGGCTTCCCTGGTGGCGCAGTGGTTGAGAGTCCGCTTGTCGATGCAGGGGACACGGGTTCGTGCCCGGGTCCGGGAGGATTCCGCATGCTGCGGGGCGGCTGGGCCCGTGGGCCCGTGGGCCATGGCCGCTGCGCCTGCGCGTCCGGGGCCTGTGCTCTGCAACGGGAGAGGCCACAGCAGCGAGAGGCCCGCGTACTGCAAAAAAAAAAAAAAAAGACAGTAGGAGGGACTTCCCTGGTGGTCCAGTGGTAAAGGACCTGCCTTACAATGCAGGGGCCATGGGGCAACTAAGCACGCACACTACAACTACTGAGCTCGCGTGCCTTAACTAGAGCCCTCGTGCTGCAAACTACAGAGCACACGTGCTCTGGAACCCGCGCGCCACAACTACAGAGCCCCAGAGCGCATGCGCCCTGGAGACTGCGCGCCACAACGATAAAGCCCACCCGCAATGAGAGATCCATCATGCCTCAACGAAGATCCCACATACCGCAAACTAATACCCGATGCAGCCAAAAATAAATAATAAATAAATCAAAAAAAAAAAAAAGACAGGAAATGAGGAGGTAAAAGAATTCCTGGCAGAAAGGACGGTGTGAACAAAGGCATAGATGCGTGAGAGTGCAAGGGCGTAGGGACCGCACCAGAGTTACTTGCCCAAGCACTAGGTGAATTAAGACATTCAGGTGAACTAACACTGAGCCACGCACTGTTCTAGGCCCTAGAGATACACCACTGAACAAAGAGCTCTTCACAAGAGAGGTGGTGTGGTAGAGTGTTTATAAGCTTGGGTTTGGGAGCCACGCTGCCTAGGGGTGAATTACTACCTGTGTGATCTTAAGTGAGATAACCCCTCTGCGCCTCAGCTTCCTTATGTGTAAGATAGGTAATAGATAACCTCATAGGCTTCTGTGACGGTAAAGTACGCTGATTCAATTAAGCTGCCTAGAACTGTGCCGGGTTCATTAAGTGTTAGGTGGTGGTATTACTGAACGGCTGGATCTCCCCATCTCCGCCCCATTGCCTAGCAGTCTGGACCCCAAAGCCGGCGAGACTGGGCAGCAGCGCCCCCTCCTGGCTACTGAGAGAAAGAAGGGCCTCCTCCCGATACTCAGCGGCCCTCCTTGACCTCTTCCTCCCGGCGGATTGGGAAGCCTCAGGAATTACTCTACCAGCCCAGGTTCACCGAGCGCTACTCCCGTGGCGGGCTCTGCGCGCGCACTTTGCCGTGCGGGGTAAATTAGATCGTCTCATCTAATTTTCAAACAGCTCTCTGAGGCAGACACGGTTACTGTTTCCATTTCACCAAGGGAGAAACTTGAGGCTCCGGGAGGTCGAGTCCCTTGTTCCAAGCCATTCAGCGAGGGAGCGGCGGGACGTGAAGGCAGGAGAGTGTGACTGCCCCCAGCTTCTGTTTGGTCGCGCGGGTCAGCCCGCCCCAGTCACTGCGGCGAGTGCGCGCCGGTGTACGCGCCCGTTCTGTGCGCGTGTGCGCGCCCCGAGACCAGCCCCGGGGGGCCCGGAGCGCAGCGAGGAGCGTGAGGAAGCAGTGGTTGCCCCGCGGGCTCGCGGAGCGCGGGGGCGGGGCTTGTGCCGGCCCTTGCCCCGCCCACCGGCCCCGCCTGCCGTGCTTAGGAAGGGAGGAGGCGGCGCTGGGAGCCGGGACTCGGCGGGCGGCGAGGAGCGCGGAGCCGGAGCCAGAGCCGAAGCCGGAGCCGGACGCCGCCGCCGCAGCCACCTGCGCGGCAGTCATCAAGGTAGGGCGGCCCCGAGCCACCGGCCATACCTTCCCTGTCTGTGCGATGTGTGCGCGCTGCGCCTCTGGGCTGCAGCGCCCGGGGAGGGATGCTGGGGCTCGGCGCACCGCAGGGGACCCGGCGGGGCTCGGGGGACCTGGCTTCCAGCCCCTCTGCGTGACCTTGCACAAAGCACTGCTCCTCTCCAGGCCTCAGTTTCCCCATCGGGACAGCGGGCCCAGTGGTAGCCCCTTCCTCGCTGGGCTCTTGGGAGGGGCCGCCTCAAGCTCCAGCCTCCCGACGGCGAGGGGCCTGGATGGGTACTGTCTGCACAGCCCACCCGCAGTGAGGGCCTCTTATGCTGGCTGTGGCGAGTCGGTCCCGACAGTCCCCCCATTAGTGGCCTGGGTGCCTCGCGGGACCTGTGTCGGGACCTCTTCCCTCTCCTGGTTGAGCAACCTGCTGGGCCTCAGCTTCCCTGTACAGGAAACAGGAAGCGGGGGGACACCCCCAAGTCCCTATCAAGCCGGTCTGGGCATGCAGGGTGGGGCGGTCAGAGTCCGCCTGCCAAGTCTGCCTCCCGGTCTGGGGCTGGGGGAGCCCTGGGTTGGAGGTGGTGGGGCCCTCGGCCACAGACTTGCCTAGACCAGACCCATGCAGGCACCTGTATTTAGGGAATGGTGTGGAACATGCCCTTCCCCATCCCTTCCCCACCAGTGCTGACGCCCAGCTCTACGTCCCAGCCTGGTGTGATAGGGATGGCTTGTCCACACACGGACCCCAGAGGGGCTACAGTGCCAAGAGAGCCATGTCTGAGTGGGGTTCGGTCTGGGACAGAGCAGATGTCTGAGGGACTGTGGCTCCAGGCTCTCTGGGTGAAGAAGACCTCTGGCATCTGACCCAGCCCCTTGGTCAGATCTCCTTTGGAAGGTCCTGCTGTCCCATTGCACACCCCTTGTTATGGGAATCTCACTAGCTGTAAACAGAGCTAGAATCTACTAGTCCTGCTCTGAGCACACAGACAACATCTGACCCCTCCATCCCCCACCCCGAGGCAATCATCTGGTCCCTTAAATCAGTTTACCTCAGGGCTAAACAGCCCCAGATCCAGCATTGTTTCTCCTGTCAGAGCCTTAGGGAGCAAAGGCAAGACGAGGGAGCTGAGGTGTCTGCCCCAGAGCAGGCAGTAGTCAGCCTGGGGATTATTCAGAACCCACTGTCATCAGGACTGGAATGTGTCCCCTGTACCCTTGGGTTAGCAGCTACCTTAGAGGTCTGGAGTGAGAGAAGGAGCCAGAGGAGCCCCTTTCCAGGCCTTCCAGCCCATGTGTGTTCTTCCCTGTCTTCTGTTGCCTGCCCTGATTGAGGGAGTAGTTTCTGAGAATCAGGACTGGGCCTTCTGGTCTCTCTTGTCCCCCCTCGTGACCTGCCCCTCACCCGGGAGCTTTCTTACAGCCAAAAGAAGGGAGGCATTGCCAGGGCAGGTAGTGAGCACTGTGTCCTCAGAGGTTGTGAGCAGAGGCTGGATGAGCACTTGGTGGGGGTGAGCTGCCTTTGACTGCAAGTCTGGGACTCTAGGGCCGAAGTAGAGTGAGCATGACCTTACCTTCTGGCCATGGTGGAGCTGCACAGAACTTGAAGCTAGACCACAAACGAGTGTTATTATCCCGTCGTAAAAGCAGACTAAGTATATGTGCTATCACTTGAGCATAGCTCCGACCCACAGGCTTAAGTGCTACCTATGTCTCCTGTCATCTCTACCTGCGTATAATCTGGGCTCTGTTTTCCTGCTCTACTAGTCCAAGCTATTTAGGCCTTGATTTAGAGGTATAGCAAATTCTGGTTATTAACAAGTCATCCTATGCCAATAATTTTAAAATGCACCATGGAATTATGGAATATCTAAACTGCAAGGGATCTTAAGAAATCATCTCATTCAACCCCCTCATTTGACAGATAGGTATCCCCTATCCCTGGAGGGGATGTGACTTGTCAAAGGTCACACACAGCAGATGAGCAACCAAGCCCAGCGATCTTGATTCCAGAACCAGAGTGTGTGTGTGTGTGTGTGTGTGTGTGTGTTTGGAAACACATACCACATAGTAAATGAAAGCAATCTGTATTTATTCCTATAAAATTAGCAGAAATAAATATAAAAGGATAAACGTCTATGCTGGCAAAGCTATAGGGATTCTCCGGTAGCATTTAATTTTGCAGAGCAACCTGGCAGTTTGTTACAAAAGTCCATGAAAATGATCCTAACTTCCCTTTGACCCTAGAATTCTAATTTAAGGACTTTACCCTAAGGAAGTAATTATAGAGAGAGACGAGTGTAGTGCTGTTATTTGCAAGAAGTTATCTTATGGTGAAGAAGCTCTTGGTGTTTTATCTGAGGCTTAATAAACATTTCATTTAAAAAGTACACCTTTAATAATAGTGATACTAAAGCTTCCATGTCCAGAGTCTGGCCAGCGCAGGAGCAGTGTGGTCCAGAGGAAAAGCAATGAGACTTCTGCCAGCCTAGATTCCAGGATGAGCTCTTCCTCTACCCCACCGAATGACCTTAGGTCAATCCCTGCCCCTTTCTGTACCTCACTTACCCTATATGTGAAATGGGGTAGATTCAGTGATTGCTGAATTTCTTTGAACTCTGACAACCCACATTCTAGACTTAGCAAACCTCTGTAGAGGAAGCCTTTATTAGAAGGAGCAGTGAACACAGGGATAACCAAAGATTGTTGCAGTCTCCCTCCTCCATCATTAAATGAATCCCCTTAGAGGCAAGCAGCTAGCTAGGGGAAGGGGCTTCCCTCAGCCTTAGACCTTTGTTATCTCCAAATGGCCAGAACCTGGATTTTTTTTTTTTGGCCGTGCCCCTTGGCATGGAGGATCTTAGTTCCTGGACCAAGGATCGAACCCATGTCCCCTGCACTGGAAGCATGGAGTCTCAACCACTGGACTGCCAGGGAAGTTCCAGAACCTGGATTATTTTAGATCCTACTGTATTTTTGTTTTTATCCTCTTTACCAAATATCAGGGGACAGAGATTTTTCAGGAGGATTGGAAAATAATTCAGCAAGATCCTCCATTTATTATGTTACGTCTATAGGGTGTGCCTTGCCTTCTTCAGAACAGATTGGAGGTGTTTAGCAATCACACCTATTATGAAGGGCCAGGAGTTGGTGAACAAACATTTACTGAGCACTGACTGTGTATTAGGCCTTGAGGTACCTCCCAAGGGCCTGCAGGCTGCCATGCGAAACGTATTAGGTCATATGTGAAATGGCCAATATCTGGCTGTTTTTGACTTACAAGAAATGGCCATTTGGTTCAGCCTAAATGGAAAAAGATATAATTAAAAAGCACTGTGCTCCTTACCATAATTGAGAGATTGGCAGGGTGCGGTGGGGACTAGTACAGTGTGATTACTGTATAAGCTTGGAGAAGTCAAGTAAGAAGGACATGGGAGCCTCACCTGGAAGAATCAATAACAACAACAACAACAATAATAATAAGCTAACATTTATTGAGTACTTACCACCTGCCTGATTGTCCTAAGTGCTTCACAGTCATTCATGTAATCATTCAGCCTTTCATTTATTAAACACCTGCATTGCGCTAGGTATCTTCTAGGTATTGGGGGGAAGGGCGTTCTTGACAGTAAACAAAATAGACCAAAAAGATAAAAAATCTGTCTTAAAAGAGCTTACAATCTAATAGGAAAAAAAGACAGACAATAAACACTAAGTACAATAGGTGGTGATAAATGAGATGGAGCGAATAAAACATAGGATATTTTGAGTGTGTGAGGGGGAATGGAAGGAGGGGTTGTGGTTTCAAGTAGGGTATATGTGAGGGGAATCACGGAGAATCACTTCTGGGCAAAGGCTTGAAGGAGGTGAGGGAGTGAGCTGGCTGATTCCTGGGGAAGAGCCGTCCAGGGAGAGGGAACAGCCAGTGCCAAGAAAAAAGCCCTGAGGTAGGACCATACCTGACACGTTGAAGGAAGAGCAGATGAGAAGATTGCCACGAGGGAAGAGGAGACAGGTGAGAGAGGCCGCCGGTCCGATTGTGTACCCTGTCTCGTACAACATGATGGACTCCTGTAAGTTTGAGGGAGGTACTACTTGTATATCTCTTCTTCAGTTAAAGGGACAAAGGTACAGAGAGTTTAAGTGACAAAGGTACAGAGAGTTTAAGTAACTTGCTGAAACAGGGTCTCATAGAGGAGCTAGGGCTTTTAGTCAAGGGCAGTGGGAGCCATGGAAGGCTTTTGAACAAGTTATGGGCATGGCCACATTTGAGTGTTTTTTTTTTTAATTTATTTTTATTTTTGGCTGCATTGGGTCTTTGTTGCTGCACGCGGGCTTTCTCTAGTTGCGGTGAGTGGGGGCTGCTCCTCGTTGTGGTGCGCGGGCTTCTCATTGTGATGGCTTCTCTTTGTTGCGGAGCACGGGCTCTAGGCGCGTGGGCTTCAGTACTTGTGGCACTCGGGCTTCGTAGTTGTGGCTTGCGGACTCTAGAGCGCAGGCTCGGTAGTTGTGGCGCACGGGCTTAGTTGCTCTGCGGCATGTGGGATCCTCCCGGACCAGAACTCGAACCCGTGTCCCCTGCATTGGCAGGCGGATTCTTAACCGCTGCGCCACCAGGGAAGTCCCCACATTTGAGTGTTTGTGCGATTCCTCTGGGGTACAGAGAGAGGGCTGTGGAAATAGTCCAGGCCTGGGATGATAAGGCTGGACCCAGGCAGCGTAAACCATTGAACGAGGGGGCAGAGGATCTGTCAAGCTTGGTGCGGGGGGTGAGGTAGGGGTACAGGCCAGGTGAGTAGGAAGAGGAGGAAGCCAGGCTGGTCTTGGGCTTATTTATTTAACAAATACTTAATAGCACTTCTTATGCTCCAGGCGCCATCTAAGATTTTACATACACTGGCCCACCGAATCCTCAAAGGAATCTATAGAATAGATACTATTACTTACTATTTTTAATGGGTGTATTGTATGTAAATTATATCTCAATGA